TGAGCGTGGTGCGGACGTGACACCGAGGGTTGCGATCCCGTTGCCGGTCACGGTACGGGCGCGACACCGAGGGTTGTGATCCCGTTACTGGTCACGAAAAAAGACAAAAAGGAAAAAAAAACAATTAAAGAAGTTGAATATAAAGAATTAAAAAAAACCCAAAACACCTCAACAAAGAGAAGTCCGGAGATGGTTTAACTGGTGAATTCTAACTCTACCAAACATATAAATAAGAATTAATACTAATCCTGCTCAAACTCTTTCAAAAAACAGGNTTACTATTGACCTTACAAAAATCAAAAGGATTATAGAGAATAATATGAACAGTTGTATGCAAAAAAATTAGATAACCTAGATAAAAATGAACAAATTCCTAGAATTTCCTAGAAACACATGGATTACCAAAATCAATCCAAGAGGAAATAATCTCAAGAGTCTCCAACAATTAAAGACGTTGATGTTGATGCGGGGACAGGGGGGAGAGGAAGGGATGAAAAGGAGGAATTGGTAAAGGGACATGAAAATCAACTACATTGTATGTTAATAAATTAAAATTAAAAAAAACAAGAGTGCGGTGCTTGGGAGTGCGGTGGCGCTCCCGCCGAGGGTTCGGATCCCATATAGAGACCGGTCCGCTCACTGGTTAAGCGCGATGCAGGCGCGACACCGAGGGTCGCGATCCCGTTGCCGGTCGCGGTACGGGCGTGACACCGAGGGTTGCGATCCCGTTACCGGTCACGAAAAAAGACAAAAAGGGGAAAAAAAAACAATTAAAGATGTTGAATATAAAGAATTAAAAAAACCCCAAAACACCTCAACAAAGAGAAGTCCAGAGATGGTTTAACTGGTGAATTCTAATTCTACCAAACATATAAATAAGAATTAATACTAATCCTGCTCAAACTCTTTCAAAAAACAGGAGAAGGAACACTTCTTAACACAGTGAATGAGGCAAGCATTACCCTAATATCAAAGCTACACAAAGATACCAAAGAAAAGAAAACTACAGACCATTTTCCTTTTTGAATATGGACACAAATAACCTTAACAAAATACTAGCAAATAGAATCCAATAGAACATTAAGAGGGTTATATACCATAACCAAGTGAGATTTATCCCAGGAATGCAAGGGTGGTACAACCTATGAAAATCAATTGATTTAATATATCACATCAACAGAACAAAGGGGAAAGAAACACTTGCAGATGCAGAAAAAGCATTTGACAAAATTCAACACACACCTTTCAGGAAAAAACAATCAGAAAACCAGGAGCAGAAGTGAATTTCCTTAACACAGTAAAGAGCATTTATGAAAAACCCACAGCTAATATACTCAATGGTGAAAGGCTGAAAGTTTCCCTCTGTGACCAGGAGCAAGACAAGAATGTCCCCTTTCACCACTGCTATTCAATGCTGTACTAGAAGTTCTAGCAGATTAGTCAAGAGAAAAAAATGAAAGCTATACAAATCAGAAAGGGAGACGTAGAACTATATCTATTTGCAGATGACATATTTCTGTATGTAGGAAATCTTATAGATTCCTCCCGAAAACCACTAGAGCTAATAAATTCAGCAAAGTTGCAAAGTACAAGATCGAAACACAAAAATCAGTAGTGTTTCTACATACCAGCAATGAACAATCTAAAAATGAAATTAAGAAAACAATCCCATTTACAATAGCATTCTACTCTGCTATAAAAAAAGAAATCCTGCCATTCACAGCAACATAGATGAACTTAGAGAAAATTACTTTAATTGAAATAAACCAAGCACAGAAAGATAAAAACCACATGTTCTCACTCATAAGTGGCAGCTAAAACAAAACCAAAAAAAAAAAAAAAAAGAAAGAGGAAGAAAGAAAGATATAACAATCACAACAATCCATTGAGCTTTGAAAAGGAGACAATAGAACTGAGGCTACTAGAGGTAGGAAAGGTGGAGGGGGAAGAAGAGTTAGTGAGAAATTGGTAAAGGACCACAAAAAAAGATTACGTTGTGTAATTTTGAAGATACTAATTATCCTGAAAAATAAGTAAATAAAATAAATAATAAAAACCATACAAATGGATTAATACAGTTTGTAACCTTTTCAGATTGGCTGAATAGTGGTCCATGGTATGGATGTACCACAGTTTGTTTAATCATTCATCCACTAAGAGACATTTGGGATGTTTACAGTTTTGGGCTATTATGAATATAGTGCCTTGGGTTGAATGTTCCCCCAAAACTTAATCCCCACTGTAACTGTTGAGGGTGAGAAATCCTATTATGGTAATTGAAAGGTGGGGCCCTGAAGAGGTCGTTAGATTGTAGGACCATGCCATAGTGAATGGATTAATAATGGTGGTCAGGGGTGTAGTTCTGAGGGCTTTAAAAGAAGAGAACATTAGGTTAGTCTCTCTCTGCTCCACCATTTTCTGCCATGTGAGACCCCTGAGTCACTGCTGCCACCACCAAGACACTCACCAGATGTGTTCCCTGGACTTTGGACTTCCCAGCCTCCAAAACTATAAGCAATAAATATTGCTTTCTTTATAAATCACCCTGTTCCAGGTATTTTGTCATAAGTAATAGAAATGAACTAAAATATATAGCTTCTACGAACATCCATGTACAAATTTTTTTTGTAAACATAAGTTTCCATTTATCTTGTATAAATGACGTAAGCATGCAGAAAAACCAAATCCACAATAGCATTCAAAAGAGTAAAATAACAAAGGATGTGAAAGACTTGTATATTGAAAACTATAAAACATTGCTGAAGGAAATTAAAGACCTAAATAAATGGAAAGACATCCTATGTTTATGGGTTGGAAGACTTAATATTGTTAACATGGCAATGGCTCTCCAAAGCAATCTACAGATTCAGTGCAATTCCTATCGAAATTCTAATTTGGGGCTTTCCCCCACCCCAGAAATGGAAAAGCCAATTCTCAAATTCATATGAAACTTCATGGGGCCCTGAATAGGCAAAACAATCTTGCAACAGAACAAAGTTGAAGGACTTATACTTCCCAATCTCAAAACTTACTAAAAGCTCCAGTAGTCAAAATAATGTCACAGTGGCATAAGGATAGACATATAGACCAATGTAATACAATAGAGAGTCCAGAAATAAACTCAAATACTTATGATTAATTGATTTTGACAAGGGTGCCAAGACCATTCAATAGGAAAAAACAATTCAACAAATGGTGGTAGAAAAACTGAATATCCACATGCAAAAGAATAAAGTTGGACGCCTATCTCACTCCACATACAAAAATTCATTCAAAATGGATCAACAGCCTAAATGTATGAGCTAACACCATAAACATATTAGAAGAAAACAAAGTGATTAATCTTCATGACCTTGTATTTGGCAATGAATTCTTAAACTTGACACCCAAAGTACAAACAATAAAAGAAATAAAAAGATAAACTGACTTCCTAAAAATTAAAAACTTTTGGAAATCAAAGAGCATTGACAAAGAATGTGAAAATATAACATATAAAATGGGAGAGAACACTGGCAAATCATCTGATAAGGGTTTTATATTCAGAAGCCATACAACGCAACAACAAAAACACAAACCAAATTAAAAACGAACAAAGAACTTGAATAGATATTTCTCCAAAAAAGATATACGAACGAACAAGCACATGAAAAGCTGTCCAACATCATTGGCCATTAAGAAAGTACACATCAAAATGACGATGGAACAGCACTTCATACTCACTAGGATGACTTTAATTTAAAAACAAGAAAAAAAGGAAAGCAGCAATTGTTCAAGAGGATGTGGAGCAATAGGAACCACTGTACATTGCTGGTGGGAATGTAACATGGTGCAGCTCCTGTGGAAA